GCTGAGGTTTTAGGAGTATCTTCTTAGGATCCTACAGTTCCTAAATTAGGATCTTAAATTTCTCCCTATTTCAGAGACTTAGGAACCGGAAATAACTGAAGTACTTCTGTTTCCAAAGTATCCAAATAAAAGTTCCCCAAGAGCAATCTCAAGTACATGCTGGAAGAAGTGTTAAAATTCAGGATGACAATGAATCAAAACATAGCTTGGGAAAGCAACTGCAGAAGGAGGATGAAAAGAGGTGTATGCCCTTCTGCTAGAAGTGCATTTCACATATGCTAGTTTCGAGGGAGAAAGCACTAATCTCATATACAGAGGCTACCTCAGCTGCTCCCCTCTTCACTGGAACAATTCATGTCAAAAGTTCCTCTAAGGACAGTTTTTGCCAACCAGCTGCTCTCCTCTCATTGTAGGAAGTCACCTCCCTTGCTCTTTGGCTTCCTGCACCTCCAGATGAGCTATGAACAGCCTTATGCTAATGATACCCTAACAGTGATACCAAAGTAAGAGAGGTGGTAAATGCACTCAATTACTACATGTTAGGCAACTTGTTCTGTTAATCACTTTCTCAAGCAGTGAGTACAGTCCTAAGAACATTCTCTTTGCAAGGGCCAAATTTGAGTACAGAAGTTAAAAAGTTTTCACTTTTACCAGAAATCACATTTTTTACAAGCATCTTAGTATCTGTCAAACACACATGAAATAGGATAACAGCAGATTACATGCACCTTTTTCTTAACTTATACAGTAGATACTGTTATAACTTATGCAAGTCATGCAATTCATAGGCACAGAAATCAGCCAACTGCACAACATTGAATTTTGGAAAGTGTCAGCACACACAGCAGAACGTTTCACCTGTACTTCATAAGGTGCTGCTTTGCTCTCCTGTTTTAGCTACTCCCCTGCTCCAGAAAAGCACGCTGGAGTATATTCACTGTATCCTTTCTACTGTATGTTCAGTTGGGCAACATTTTTTTACTTTAGAAAAAATTCATGAAAGAGGAGAAAACACCAGTATTTCCCCTTAAAATCCTATAAACAACTTCTGCTCATTCTTATGTCTCATCAAGCTATCACATCAATTATAGTAAAGAGTAACTCTGCTTATAAAATGCTGTATACGCAGGTCACTTAATGCAAATTAATTCTATACATTCAACTTTATCTAATTTGCTACAGTAGAAAAATTATAAGCTTCCATAAATACAAAGAAACAGCACAAGTGCTGTGACTAGGGTAGGTATCACATTTCATATGCATGTTACATTCCAATCATTTACATTTCAGCAGAGCCATTTAGACGTGGAAATCAACCATAAACAACGAAGTGGGAAGCTACCATTCCAGGTCACAGTTACTTATTACTCATGATGCTAAAAGAAGACAAACAAGTCTGTGATTTCCTTATCCCAAGTTGCTTCTGTAAGACTGACAGTAAGTAGAGCACATTCTATATATGTACTGAAAGACCAAGAACTGGGGATTTTTTCTTAACATGCACATCCAATATTCCTGGGAAAAGTCAGCCTTAGCTTTATATTACTTAGCTGGAAAAGAAAGTATTGGCTTGGTTTTCAGAAATGTATATAATAACATCAAGCAGGTTTACCTTACAGGCAATTGGGATATTTTGCTACAAAAATGATCAAAGTTTCATAGGTCCTGAGTTTATTTTTATTTCCAGAAATACGATATTGGCAGCATTTGAAATATAGGTAAATAATGTTAAACCACTACAACCCTGAACTTGCTGGACCCATTTAGCAACAGTATGTATCAGTGAAAGTTTAGACCACAGATAATGCTATGCTGACTGTCTTATTATTCAAAAATCACTTTTATCCAGGAGCTGTGGAACTAATCTTGTCTTGATGTTAAACTGCAAACACAGACATAGAGGATGAACTAGGAAGCTATTTATTATCTGTTTTCCTGTAAAAGCAAAAGAGCTGCTCTGCTTCACCTTTTCAAAAGGCCCATGCTCTTGCACACATCTCTGGGCAGCTTCGGCAATCACCGATATTGTTACTCTCAAGAACAGCTATGGATCAATCAATATAACATGAATGTTTTAACTGCATCTCAATGCCTTCAAGTGTTTGAATTTCTTTTAAATTAACCTCAAGTTTGCAGAATTATACTTTTAAAATTGCATTCTGCTGTTAAATGAATTTTTATCTGTATCTTTTCGTAAGTTAGGTTTAATTTCACCATTAATTAATTATTTTAAATAGAGCTCATTTCAGTTGCAATTCACTCAGTTTATACAGGAAGGTTAGATGTTGAACAATAACTCCAGCATAGTACACAGTAGGCACATTGCTGTCTCTTAGTGATCATGGTTCACTGCTTCCACAGGACTTGAATGCTTTCCACGCTGTGCGCTCAGCACTGTGGGTGGGTATACCCAGTTTCTTTGTTCCCCTACTCTATGCATCAGAGGCGTGTCTTTAGGGAGCCTGCAAAGAAACTACTCACTCAGCTGCTGCCCTCTCGTCTGCCATTTCCATTGGCTAGCCAAAGCTGTTAGTGCTTATGGAGGAAGCAAATCACCACACTACAATTCTGACAATCAGTATCATCTGTACAGAAATATTTTCTGACATAACTTGCAGGCTAAGCACAACTTCACCAAACAGATTTGGTTTTGTTTGATTGAAGTCTGACTAGTTGTTCCCAAGTAGATTTCCTCAGAATGACTGCATTGTTTATTCTTGCCAGTTCTGTATTAATGAAGAAAGGACTGTAAAAGAAGATGATTGTGCTGCTAATACAGAAATGCTTTGAGTGAGGGATGAACTAGATGACCTGTGGTGTTCTTCAGTGAGTCAATGCAACAGCATCCACATGGTGTGAATGAGTTACAGTTTGGAGATCCCAGTAATGGATTTCTACTTTCCCATCAATCCCAAACCTAAAAACTTGTCCATAGGAAGCAAGCACAACAGCCCCTCCACTACAGGTAGGGTGCAGTAGGATACCCTAATGCAGAAGAGCTGTACTTTCCAGCATCTGCCTCTCACAGTCTATTCATATCCACAATTGTGGTTCATTTCCAAAGTTGGGCAAAGAGGACAAAACAGAATATAAGGCATACTGCAGCTCAGCAACCCACAGAATTATGATTTCAGCACACAAAAGGAGGCTGGACTTGAAATGTAATTAGCCCACATCCGTTCCAGGGTAGTAGCCATCTTAGTAAGTGTATAGCATGTAGTTCACAGTATATAACGCAACTGACAGAACAAAAGGGCTTTATAGGACTTTTCATAAGAGTATGCAGTGGTGGTAGCAGCCTGGCAGTGCTAAGGCTCAGAACAGTAAAAGAACAAACTGCCTGTTGCAGAGGCAGCAGAGTTTGTGTTCTGTGTCAGAACAGAAATGTCCCAAATTTCGGGTGTATCTGACAGAATAGGGTTCAGTTTGAGAGCTTTTATTTCATGTGTACTAAAGGTAGCTGAATAAATGCTGATGGCCACTGCCAAAATTCAGTCCAGCTTCTGGCATCACACGGAACCGAATGGTAGACTTAGGTGGTTTAGTGTAGTACTGATCCCATGGCTTTTTGTTCCTTCTCAAATGCCCATTTAACAGAGACTAAAAAAATTCCGTATTTCAGCATCTGAACTCTAAGGCTTCCTGTGTTTCTGCCTCTCACACTACTGGGAGCAAGGGTGAGCAGAATTCAGATGTGCGCACCACTTCAGCTAGGTACCCAGCAAGGCACAGTATCAAATTAGAAAGAAGTCCCATCTCTAGAGGACACAAACACTAAGGTTGTGTGCCAGCATTTAAACAGGGAGATGAGAACCTGTCAGCAAGATTCTGGAACAGAAACCAGGCACACAGTGAAGGGGCACAAAGGCAAATCTGCAGACCTGGGGGGTTGACAGAAGTGCAGAAAGCGATCTGGTAGAGCAGCTGGAAGATGGCAAAAGTAACACACAGCATAGCTACAGTCACACAAAGAGCAGAAGGCAGTAAACTTACGTAAAGGTAATAAAATAAAACCAGTGCGCAATGTTACTGTTTTATCTAAAAGAAGGAAAAACTATGCAGTATTTTTTTTCTTTTATTCTATACAAAGAAATTACATTATATAGTTAGGAGGTTTTCCATTATGCACCTACAAAGGTTAATACTGTGTAAACCCTCATAATCCCCAAATGAGACCTCAGGCAGATCTCAACCAGTTGTAGTGACAAAGATGCTGTCATCTTGTACGTTACTGTCTTTAAAAAAAATTTGCAGGCCAGATCATACACCCTTTTAGACACATACAGATCCAGCTACTGTACTCTCTCCATTCAACACTTGCAGTACCTCAAACACTTGCATGGATTCTCAAGATAATTAAGGAATTCACTGCTGGTGACTAATTTCTAATGTACACAACAGGATATCACAGCAACAGACACTTGTTTCTTGTAGATATTTATGACATTACCAAATCTGTTTAACTGGAAAAATTTTCCATGCAGAGGATATTTTTTCTGTACCTTTAAATACAGGATATACATTTGGACTGTAAATTCTAGTTGATTCCATTCCACAGTTTGGTGACTGAAGAGATACAAATGTAAGCATATTTATTAAAATACTTAACAGAAAGTCTGTGTTCTTAGAACGTGTGACTTAACAGAGACCCTCACTGTCACAGAGTATAATCGACACCAAGGCACGTGAAAGTTTAAAATAAAACCAAAACTCAAAACCCACAAATACATACCTTGTAGACTGCACAATTCCAGGACCATGTATGGTTTTATTTTACCAATATAAACCAGGAAATTGCCTTGATAGGTGAACTTTACTAGATACTTGTTAGATGGCTTAGGACTTCCTTGGAAACAAGAGTTTTGACAGATCACATACCAAATAGATGCCTCAGAGTACAAGTGGTTTTCTACTTTTCCCTTAAATGCAATATACTTTTCTGCTTTTTTAAATTTTATTGAAAATAAAACTAATATATACTTCTAAAAACAGATACTTACAGTGAAAATACCCATAAGCTGAGTGTAAAAGAGTCCACTTATTCCACCTAACATTATTATACCCATGAAGGCAGATATTCTTAGGAGAGCAAGTTCATGTCTAAATACAAAAACATCCTATAACAACAGAAAGAAAAAAGACTTTAGCACACAGAAATCAATTTAAGTCTTTGAACTACATGGAAATGCTAGATAAAAGCTGTTCCCAAAGACTTACAACTAAAGGCAAATACTGGATTTTTTGAGCTACATTGCAAATTGATATATATATGGGCTGAAATTATAAACCAATAATCTTTTATTTGTTGCTGGGGAGGGTTTGCCAGATTTTCAAAAAACCTCATTTGGGTATTTAAGATTTAGGAATAGAGCATGCTCAAATGGGTTATTTCTGAATCTTTTATCTCAAACTGTGCCAGACTACTACTACAAAAAAACCTCCAAAATATAAGAACAGCATTGTGTTAAATACTCTGATTGATAAGATTCCTATACCTTGGCTCCAATCCACTCAAATTTAACATCTCATCTTTCAGACTAAAAATAACATTCCTCACTTGACTTTTAAAGATTATACCTATAAAATCTGAGTACCTGTATTGGATTAGTCTCACCGTAACACTATTATCTAACATAAACTTATCTTCATATTTTAACTTTTTGCCTTAAGTGGATTATGTTAACTTTGGATATGGGTGCACAGCCTCAGGGTATAGGAGAATACAAACTTACTGTATCACCTGCTCTAGAAAGCCTGCTCTCACCCAGCAGAAAACATGAAAAGCATAAGACAGTTTTATAGGTCTTTTTCAAAGGTTAAAACACCTTATTTTTATAACAGGAAAACATTTACACATGGTAGTTACTGTAGGTGTACCACAAGTTCACGTTTTGTCTTATCCTTTGATAATGAGTTAACACACCCATTCTTTTATTTATAAGTCTCTTTTGAATGTACACATCTGTTTTCCCACTTAGAAAAGCCAGATCACAGCAGGAAACTATTAAAACTTTTCAAGTATATTTTAAATTACAATCACAACATAAAAGTGAACTTTGAATGAAAGTGGGAAGAGAAAAAAAAAAAACAAAAAAAACAAAACACAATTGAAAAACACTGCTTTTGAACTTCCCTTCTTTAGGTTCAGTGTAATGGTTAAGGGTTTGGGAATACTGGGGTTTAATTAAACAGAAAATAGTTAAAGCAAATTATATTTAGTAAAAAAGTCTGATTTTAGATTTAAATTATTTCCACAAAGGTTCAAAATATAAACCCAGGAAAAAGGTTTATGCAGAAAAAAAGTTTATGCTGTCTATTAAGGCTATGAAGAGAGCTGATGTTTAATGAACAAGAAGAAAACACTAGATAAAACCAGATAAAACAAAAAGCAAATCCCACCATCTTTTGGGAACTGGTAAGCCAGCTCTTGTTAGCGTTGGCCTTTCTTGTTGCCTGTAGAAAACATGTTTCATTTCAATTTCTTTCTAAACTCCTCTTACCCAGTTAACAAGTTAATTCAAAATCACATTAACTCAAAATAAAAACATTCATACTAATTTTTGTTTCCCTTTCCACCACCAAGGTAAGACACAAGTTCTGCCAGCTGTAAAATTCTTTTCATACCACAGAATCAGCTAAGTTCAGAAAGACCCTTAAGATCATCAGGTCCAACTGTCACCTCAGCACTGCCAAGTCCACCACTAAACCATTTCACTAAGTGCCTCAACCACACATTTTTGAACACGCCCAGGGGTGGTGATTCCACCTCTTCCCTGGGAAGCCTGTTCCAATGTCCAACTGTGCTTTTAGTGGAGAAGTTGTTCCTAATACCCAATCTAAATCTCTCCTGGCGAGCTTCAGGCTGTTACCTCTTGCCTTATCACCTGTTACTCGGGAGAAGAGACGAGCCACCTCCTTGCTCCATCCTCCTTTCAGGTAGTTGTAGAGAGGAATAAGGTCCCCCCTGAGCCTTCTCTTCTCCAGACTAAACAACTCCAGTTTCCTCAGCTGTTCCTCATCAGACTTGTGCTTCAGACCCTTCACCAGATTTGTTGCTCTTCCCTGGACCTCCTCCAGCACCTCATGTCTCTCTTGTAGTGAGGGGCCCAGAACTGAACACAGGATTTGAGGTGCAGCCTCATTATTGCTGAGTACAGGTGGATAATCACTGCTCCGTCCCTGCTGGCCAGGCTGTTTCTGACACAGGCCAAGACGCCAGTGGCCTTCTTGGCTGCCTGAGCAGAAGCTGGCTCATGTACAGCAGCTGCCAGTCAGCACCTCCAGGCCCTTTTCTGCTGAGCAGCTTTCCAGCCACCCTTCCCTAAGCCTGTAGTGTTGCATGGGGTTTTGTGGCCCAACTGCATGTGTGGACAGGGCACTCTGCCTTGTTGAACAAGGTTTATCTTCATTGTTTATTTTATCAGAAAAGTTTGAACATACTCAAACTCATCAGAAAACTGTGAAACGTAAGAGAACAGTTCCAACAGCAAAGTCACATTCTGGATCTAGCATCACACTCCCCATTAGAAAAAAGTCTGTAGCACAGCTCTCGGCATCCCTCCAACACTGTAATTTTGAAGAGCTCCTTCTCTTGAGCATCACCTTCAAAACATAACCAGATAACCCAAAACATGAGAAAGGAAAATTCTAGTGTAAAGAAGGCAGACTGCATTTTGCTCTGGGCCCTCCTAACCTACATTGAAACTAGAAGTACAGAAAAGGAAAGATGTTTCATACTGAAGGGAAGACCAAGGAATACTACTTTCTTTCTTTCTTCCTTCTCTCCTTCCTTCCTTCTCTCCTTCCCTCCTTCCTTTTTCCTTTCCTTCTCTCTTTCCTTCCTACTCTTCTTCCTCCCATCCTAAAAACCAAAAGCATCTACCAGAAAAGACTGGGAGCTGCTGAAGAGGCAATATCACCAATGTTTTTCAGGCCATTACACAACCCAAGGAGAATAAAAGCCTCTGAGGCAATGATGATCTGGAAATCAGTACTGGACCCTCACCTAGCAATCTGTACAGACAGAACAGCATTTTTTCTATAGAAAAGATAAGTATATGCAGGAATAGAGTCTTTTGGTAATCAGATCTTAATAACAGAGATCATTTCACAATTCTGCATTGAAATAGAAATATGTGACTCCACAAAAATACGGTCAAAAAAAAATAAAATTAATTCATAAAACACAAGCTGCATTTTAATAAGCCATTTTGCAGAGATATTATTAATAACAACTGACATTTATGTAAGGTACTTTTTGAGCAGGACTATTTCAGTTCTACTAAATTAGTAATTTCGCAGTCTGATTCATGAATGATTTGGTTTGAAGTGAAAATGGGAATAACACTCTGACTTCAAAAACAATTGTCTACATACACTTCAATCCAAAGTGATAATTCTGAAGTCTTTTCAGACTAGAAAAGATTTTAAGAAAAGGCCATACAATCTTAACATACAAATGACACTAACACTGTATTTTTAACAAAATATTATCCTCTCAGTTGCTCCTATATTTTTCTGTACAGAACTTACTTTCTAAATATTCATATACTCTCCCTATAATTCTACAAGAGGAGAAGAGGGTTAGGTTGTTTTTTCAGAACACTGAGAAGGAACATTTTGATGTGCTTTATTTTTTTTTTAATTCTTACATCCTGCAGGTCATGTAATGGCCCTAAGAGCGAAAAGGTTTCCTTTAGGTTCTCTTTACAATATAAATGGACTTTGGATAATACATAATTCCAGATTCTAACTAATATTATAGCTACTACATAATATTGAAAGAAATAGTACTGTAAATAATCTCACAGAGGCTAATGAATATTTTCCAACACCACTTACTGGAATTGAGAAAGCTGGGTCCCAGACAGAGCAGGCTGATACTGCTACAGTGCTTCCTCAATTGCTACAGTGCTTCCTCCCTCTGTACTAATAGAGCCCAGAACTCTTTAAAAACCAATCAGTTTGGTAAAACTAATTCAGAACAAAGAGGTTTAGGTTTTCATAGGTCAGATGTTTTTTAAAAAACTCTGTTTTTTTAAAAAAAAAATCTTTTGCTTAAAAGATTGAAAGCCTTCTATAAATCAGGTAAAATACACCACCAATGCATTTATTTTTGCTTCTACTCAACCAGCTGTCTTGAATCTTTGCCAGCACAGACATAGTACACAGCAACTATATATGTAGTCATAAGAAGACTAGTATTTATTCTTGTCACCTCACTGTCCACAATATTTAATGCTTCCTAAAAGATACAAACTTCCTGACCTTGATGTTTTTTATTGAAGATGCAAAATGCAGAATGTTCCAGTTTTAGCCTCTTAAAACCACCAAAGGTAACAGAGGAACTCATATGCTGGTTTATTCGTATTAGGTATTTTTATTCTGCTAGGATCTCCCATTGACAATTTAATTACCATTTCCCTCATTCTTAGCAGTAATTGTACTCCTCCTGCTGGACAAACAGAGGCAATAACCAAAATCCGTCTTTCTTACAGTGTATCAATTAGAAGAGCCAAGAATACTATGAAGCAATTTTCTGCTATAAAACCTGAGCTGAAAGATTGTATCTCTATTGAAAGGGATTCTCCTATTAGCTTTAAAGCTATCACCTCTACTTCAGAGCACTTAAAAAATGTTTGGGGTTTTCCTACTTAACCCATTTAAAATAAAACCACAAGTTTATATTCAGAAGGAAATACTAGCATGCATATTGTGATCTTATTTTCATAATGCATTAATCAGTACTGTGATTATTTCACAACAGCCTTAAAAGCAATTTTAACTCTACTGCTTCTGTGTTCTGTATTATTTTATATCCAAAGAAATAAAATTAAGTTGAAGGCACACTGCCAAAAAACTCACATGTATTTTTAATGATCAGGGATAAGCAAATTCCAGATGGCTGTTTAGAAAAAAATATGCAGTTTTTTTGAATCTGTGCTAAACACTGGCCCCGTTCAATTCAGAAAATATAGCCTCTTAGTTATATCCAAAACTCCAACTAAAAGCAGCACTTCCAGGAGAGGTAGAAGGTACTTCAGTCTCCGAAATGCTATGGTACTTCAGTATTAGTTGATATACAAATACTAAGGAATCTTGCAGCATGCTTACTTAAAAAACCTACCTAATAGTAAGCAAGTATTTCCAGTGATCCTTTTCATTTGATATCAAAATTACCCAATTCTTACATGTTACTCTGTGACATGAAGTTATATGGCACTGTATCCTTAGCAACACTGTAAAAAAAAAATAGCTTAATGGGGCTCTGATTACATATTCCCAGCAGATATATCGACTAGACAACTAAATAAATTCAGAGCAGTATCACTGAGAGAGAAGTCTTGGCACTTGAAACCTGCGAACTCTATGTACAGGAAGCCTTCAGAATACACAAAATGTTAAGATCACTCTCTCCAGAAACACAGTAGGTTTACTTAGTTTATAAATCAAAAAAGAAGTTTACAAATCCACTGAAAGAAACTAGAAGCAAAGGATTTACATTTAGTCACCTTTCAAAAACTTAAGAAATTTTACTTAGATGACAGATTTACTGACTAATAGAGAAACTGCAATTTCATATTCCTTTTAACTTGGACACAGCTACAACAAGTCAATAGGTCCTTCAAATCTCACAATGCCTGTAAAACAATGTAAACATGAAAAGCCCATCTGCAACAAACTGGAATTAAAGTGAAAAATCTGAGTACTCCATTTTAATTAATATATTTTACAGGTCTGTCTCAGTTTAGAGGGCATTGCCTATGGAAAGATGCTCCAAGAAGACAACAAATTCTTCTCTTTTCCTTATTTTTAGAGTTCCCTAAGCCATTTAAAGGGAAAAGGGAAAACACACAGGCAGGAATGAAAAAAATAAATCCTTTAGAATATAAGTTATTTTAAGAGAGATTTGCAAAAATTCAACTTTGGTGCATTCCATATAATAAAAAGTTGGTCTCTATCAACTTGAATACAACACTTTTATCAATTCTGGATGGTCAAAGGAGTACAGTCTTTGACACATCATCTTCACACATGCTTTCTTGGGAACATCAAATCCACTGCAGACAGATAAGGAAGCAAAGAAGACTGGAAGGCTATGTATGCCCCATTCTTTTCCAGAAGTTCAAAGCTAAAAATAAGTTTCTTACTTCATACCATTTGGAATACAAAATAACATAACAAACTGAAGTCGTTCAACAAAATGGAAATGGGCTTAACTTACCCATAACCAAAAGCCTGTCTCCAGCACCCTTGAAAGATGGGTGTGACACCCCAGAGAATATTGCTGGGGTGTCAACATCAACATGGAATAAAAAACATCTGCAGCAATTCAGTATTTGGAAAAAATCTCAACAAATTTAGAGTACACTACCAATTTCTGGGATGGTCTTAGACTCTTCACTTAGGACATCTGGAATGTTATCTAATATTTAGTATATTTTAAACTTGTTTTCTAGGTTTTTTTCTTTAGGGTGCTTGTTTCATTACAGACCAGTACCAATACAAAGTCCATTTAAGATTTTGGGTAGAAGTTTTTACATTTCTTTATGAGCAAGATCTCATAATATTTGCTGTTCTAGCATTTTCACGGCTTCAGCAATTTTCAAGCACATTCATAAGTCCATATTCTCTGTGTGTTCAACTGCATTTTACTGATGACAAAATGCTGAAATATGATAACAGCACAGAGTTCTATTAAAAAATCCCACAAACTCAATTCTCCTTTAACCCACATAACTTTCTGAAAGCAACACAAAATACTGCTTCAAAACCAATGCAATTTTTACTCCTTTCAGAATTGTATGTTTTTCTCATTTTTCTGGCCTTATCAGTATTTTTAAATACAGACTTACAGTAGATAAAAAATTTACTTTAGAGGAAGTAAAAAGATACTTGAATACACATAAGGCAGTTATCTTGCTTCTCACCATTATTCACTAATCTCTTCTAAAGAAAACTAACTGGTTCTGTCCTTTCCTAGATTTCTAAGAAATCTAATGTTGTGTTTTTAACAAACAGGAACCATATACCCTTTTAGAAAGATATTTTGTTACTTACTGTAAACCAGTTTGCTCATTTAGCACGCATCTAGTTGAACTCTCTTCACTGCAAACGACTGAGCTAGAAGAAGCATGTGGTAACTATATACCAAAATAAATTACATTACAGCACAAGCTACTTACTCACTTTGTAAAAAAACAGATTCTTACCCAATTTTCTTTTTTCAGAGGCAAAAAGTAGTAGTAATGGCAGAAATCAAGTATGAGCGTATATGAACTAAGGATCTGAGTGTAGAAACACAGCTGTAAAAACAGCCAATGATTGTCTTCACCAACACAATTATTAATCCTGCGGAGAAATAAAATGTATAAAGACAGAAATATAAAGACTTTAACAGTGCAGTTATGGTATTGTAAGAGAAGTTATGGTTCTTCATGGCACAAACATAAGAACTACTGACTAATCACTCCATTCTTAATATTTTCGAGATGGCAGTTACTATAAGGAGTTGTTTCCTTACACTGCCACTTAAAGTGTAGGTTATAGAATCATAGAAGAGTTAGGGTTGGAAGGGACCTTAAGAACATCAAGTTTCAAACCCCCCCTGCCATGGGCAGGGACACCTCGCTCTAAACCATATCACCCAAGGCTTTGTCCAACCTGGTCTTGAACAATGCCAGGGATGGAGCATTCACAACCTCCCTGGGCAACCTATTCCAGTGCCTCACCACCCTAACAGGAAAGAATTTCCTCCTTATATCCAATCTAAAGTTCCCCTGTTTAAGTTTTAACCCATTGCCCCTTGTCCTATCGCTACAGTCCCTAATGAAGAGTCCCTCCCCAGCATCCCTATAGGCCCCCTTCAGATACCGGAAGGCTGCTGTGAGGTCTCCATGCAGCCTTCTTTTCTCCAGGTTGTATTACTGAGATCACTGCTTAGAACAGAAGATATATTTCTCTGTATCTTCATATAGCAAACATACTCCCACAATTTTAAGTAATACTCAAGTAACAAAACAAAAAAGTCTGCAAAATTTCACAGTAGTACGCATTATCTCCAGCTACTCAATGCATTTGACTGGTTGTGAACTATACAGAGTCCAAAAACTGGAAATGCAGATGAGTGGTTTGAAATAAATGTCATCACAAGATACCTCAATGACAAACAAGCGTGACTTGGGTAGCAGCCTAAGACACAGAAGACAGAACAGGCATCTTTATTCAGAAACTGCTTCTGCAAACTCCAACATAAATGAGTAAAGAAATCACCAGGATTCTAGAAATAGTGATATTCAAGACTTTTGAATTCTAGGTCTAGTTTGCTTCATAGAAGTTACATTGATGCAAAAACTGTGTTCAGGGTGCAATTTCATACAAACGTTCTTCGCACAGTACCGGTTTAAGGCATAATAACAAAAGCACTATATTGGCACAATTTTCTGAAGTAGCAATTGACAAAAAGGGTAGTTTGAAAAATTACTAAATCAGCATAGAAGGATCATGATGTCAGTTGTGTCCTATGCAGTTTTTCATTGCTGTCTTGCCGCAAACAGTACCTTAGAACTACAGACAGAAATGTTTAATTTTAAGCTACTATCAGTTTAAACAGAGGATTTTACCCGTATTAGTTCATTTTGACTGAAACTAGTTAGAGAACACTAAAATAAGCAATTCCACTACAAAATCAGAGCAGCTATGACAAGTAGAGCATGGTATGAATCACTAACATTTTCTACTCATCACTGCCATTTAGTAAATTAAAATCAAAACCTGTCTGAAACCATCAGCTTTTTTTTAGTAAAATAAAGAACATCCTCTCTTATATTAAAATTGTAATCTTTTATTTCAAGAAACACATTGTTTAATGTCCTAAAAAAAGATATTTTTTTTCCAGCATCAGAAACTGAACTTCAACTGCTGAAACACATCTGCAGTGTAGAAATTAATTATGCTGAGATCACTATTAGCAGTACAAAATCCAGTTACTTAAACAAAGTATGGTAATTTTCCAAAACTATATGTCATATAACAATTTGACAATGATGTTCCATGCAGTAGTCCCTACTTTCAGTTTTACTTGCAGATATATGAAAATCCCAAAGCTGTTCTTCCCTGATCTAAATGCCTAAACAAGTAAGCACTGCCAGGAAAGAAATATGGCAAATGAGTAATAGTGAAGACCATGAACTTTGAAATAATTCACTAAAACAACAGTAGAGTTTTAGAACAAACAGCCTGGTCTTACCATGGACAGTGGTGATCCATTCTCCTCACACAATGTCCACAACGACTGCAATGGTGTGAACGCTTTGGTCTCATCATATTGCATTTGTTACATAATTCCCAATATTCTCGTTCTAGGTGAAAATGTAAAGACACTTTAAACTCAGTAAAGTACACTCATGATAAATCTGTAAACTAGTGATTAAAAAAGAAAAATAAAATCTTACTATGATCTGAGAAGGGTAAGCAGCATATGAAAAACTTTTCTCCCACTGTCACCTTAATTAAACTGGAAAATATTATTGCCAATCTGTGTCAGTCTTCCCCAAAATCTTCTCTCCTCCTCTGTGTTTCTAGGAGTAATTATTACAGCACGAAAGCTGTCGCTCAAACAAGGAAGACTGTAATTCAATTATTTTCTTACACGCTCATTGTAAAAAAGGTATCTGCTAGGCAAAACCATCATAAAATCTCCCTGCCATTCCAAAACCTCCTGAGGAAATACTGCTACTCAAATTTGTCAACGCCAGCTAATTAAAATAAAATGCAGAATGAACACTTCAGAAGCATCTTCCACCTCAAAACATTTTCAGACATACACCACACAACATGCAATTTTACACATAAGGGAAACACAGAACAGAGGACAGACCTGTATATAAAGTTATACTCTATGTTTGGATGCTCAGCGTGAGATTCTGATCTCCAGAGATACTAAACAGCTGAAACTACCAGGAGCTACTATTACTCAGCTTATTATTTATCTCAAAATGCACCACCCAAATTAGAGGAAGCCTCTGAAAATGACAATTCAAATGATATATTCGGAAGTTCATTTTCACGGGGGAAACAAATCACACCAACACTGTAACACTTCCATTCACAAAAGCATGTATATTTTGTCTTTAAGGAAAACAGGTGCATGACGGAGAATCTTAAAATACTTTGACTGGTTGTTTCTACCTAGATTGAACTTTTTTGATGCAGAGAAATTTCTTGAATCCTGGGGGAGGTCAGAAAGGAATAAGCTTACTTTTTGCAGTAGGGCATTCTGAAATTTCACATGAAAAAGCACTGTCCCAATATAAATTAAATAAAGTTAATGTAGCACTTCTAAGCTACCTGCAGGCAGCTCTAATCTTATCTTTCTTGCAACAAAATAACATTTGGACACTGGAAGTAAAGAAGCCAAACATCTGAGATCATTAAACGAGTAATAACACCAGATGGAAACTGATTCACAATCTGTTCCCATAAAACCAGTGTCACGAAGATGTCACTCCCTAATAGGATAGCTCCCAGCAAAGTTCAAAAACACCAACTAATTTTTAATACAATTTATACCATGTAAAAATGTATCTTCCTGTCAATCTACAGAATACCAGGGAACTGAAGTGCTACTTCAGAAAGTATAAAGTCCCTGATATGGCATACACCAAATCATCACATCAATGTCACAGTCAAGCCTAAGCATTCCATCTTCGTAAGTATCTATAAAGCATCACTATCATATGAAATGAATGGAGCACGAAAAGGCTGGAGGGCTGTTCATCAGGATCCTTTAAAAGGGGAAGAAACATGTTTACAAAAGGAATTTGTACTGGTCCTGGTATCTTGCAGGTAAATGAACATTCAGTCATAAAATATAATTGTCTGTAACTGTACTAAGTATCTTCATTCTCCAGCTTGGGCTGCAGAACCCATTTTGCTCTTCCTGCGGCAAGAACTCTGACTGCAGAACCCAAGTCTGAGCCACCTTTCCTTTTACTGGATCAAAGGATCATTTACCAAAGCAGAAAGAACATTGACATGAGATTTTCTGCAATCAGTATTTTACATCTGAATCCCAGAAAGATACACCCCTTCCTACTATCTGCTGCCTAGTTTAGGCATCTTTTAACATCAGTGCTGAGGGTAAACTGATCATGTTTCTGAACACATTATCCTAGATTCTACTAGCATTAGGAAGAGAGAGTGAAATACAATGTGGCAGATGCCAGGAACAACAAAAAAAGACTGAAATAGTCACCCCCCACTCCATGTCATGCATTTTAACAGACCTATTTAGTAGACATACTATTTAATAGACCTACTCAATTCAAAACTGCTACATAAAAGCTCTCTGCATTAGATAAGCACCTTTATAGCATTCAACAGGTCCTAAAAATATTGGCTTTCTCTGTAGAGAATTATTAAGGTTTCAAATTTCCTTCTATTTCTGGAGCCTCAGATACTATTAAGGAATTGTGAAATAAATTCACAAGGACAGAAGGGAAATCTAACATGTGAAGTTGCTACCCCATAGGAATGCAATGTAATTAGCATCACATTTGTTTGGTTAACAGCCCACACAAACATAAGTTACTGAAAAAGATTGTGTAGAAAATACATAGATAAAATCCTGTACCTTCTACTACCACCTTGGATATCTTATAAATCTACTAGGAAAAAAGCTATGGAATTATAATGACTAACCATCTCTAAGCATTTTTTATTAAATGTTATCAAGTTAGAAGTACATGCATACGTTTGAAAGCCTAGAATGCAAAAAAAGATCTTCATGTGGAAAGATTTCCTAGCAGAAGTTCCTAAATAACTAAACTTCTAATGGAATATAAGTTTTGAAAAAGAAGTTTTCAAAACTTTTATACAAGCGAAAAGTCCTAGAAAAGTCTATAAAAGGGGAAGTCCTAGGAATTTACATGTTAAAAACAGCACCATACCAATTCTAATATTATTAACAACATAGGCTCCAGCAGAAACTGCTCATAGCTTTCATCAAATCTCACAAAATCAAATTGATTCCTATTATTTTGAGGACATTAAAATAACTTTTATTAAGTTATACAGAAACAACTTAACGTACCTGTAATTGGTATCTTTGGGTTTTCAGGCAGTTTTCCTGGGTCAGCGACTGAGGCCCTTAGTAATGAAGCTATACAAAACAATGAGCAGAAATAATAACCTAAAAAAATAAGCAAGATCTTGTTAGTCTTCTTCAGGTGTACAAAATACCCTGTACACTGCATCAAAAATATAGATGCTCCAGCACTGAGTTAGAAATTACTCAGCCTTCTCATTCAATTCCAGGCATGTATTTGGTACTATGCAGTCTAAAATATTAAGTAATCCCCAGTCTTAAAAAGGGAAAGGAAAATGTAGCAGTGAACACTGTTTTGACAGCACCAACAGAATGACACTATGACCTTATACTCCTATATTTAAGAAGTTCCTTCACTATTGTATTAGCAGAAAAGGCCTACACATGGAAAGGACATTCCCAATAGTCAATCTTCACTTTAAACTTGGTTCCAGTTATAATCCAAGCCTTTCTCCAGAAAAACTCATTACCATAACTCATATTAGCTGATGCACCCAGGTCATTTGTCATTTTTATGACAAAACTACCAAAACTCTGCTTGCCAGTACTACCACCCTGAATTCTGACAAGCACTAGGATTTGTCTGCCTGAAATTAGGTCAACAAGTTTTAGCTACAGGATCTGAAAACCATATTAACACTTTTCCCCAGTTTCCACACAAACGTGTTTTACCAGAACACCTTTGAAATGAAAGAAAGTCTCAGCTCCTCAGAACACAAAATTGTAGGATGCACCTCAGTACTTTTATCTTTTATGCTTCGCCCCTTTTCTTTTTCTCATCTTTCTCGTACATGTTAACTATTACCCAAATATACGATTTTTGCTGGTATAAAAAAAGGGCTAAGTTAAATTGACTTACACAAAATTGCAAGAACTGAAATATGTCCCTCTTCATAGTGGGGAAAAAGGATGACTTTTGGAATAAAGATTGTGTTGTACAGCCAGACAAAGATAATCAGACCCATGCAGCACCAACCCTGAGGGTCAACCACAAAGTGAATTCGGCGTCCCATTGAATGCAAACAGGTAATAATCTGTCACAACCCAGGAATCAAAAATTATCCTAGAGAGATAAATTAAAAAAATCATTTTAAAAAAGAGTAAATTAGCTAGTATCATGCAACCTATAGGGTCCTACATACATTCAAATAGGAAAAAAAAAAAAAACAAAAACAAAACAACCAAACCTGTCAGCTACTGATTTAAGGGATTAAATGAAAACTTACAGACATTATACATGCACTGCTCAAGTATCAGGAAGAGAAATAGTTTATTATTTCATTAGTTATATCTCACTAAAACAAAAGGTTTATCAAAATGCAAGTAAAACATGTACCTGGAAAAGCTATTAAGTAATAGTAAGCAACTGACAGCCAGCTAGCAGCAGCAAAGGATATAAATATTAGAGAAATATTCCATCAAAATAAAAAGGTTGCAAAGCAAAAAAGAAACACAGGGAATGACTTATACAAGGATTCATCCCACCTACCTATTGCAGGCTACCAACAATATTTTAAGATTATTTTTAAAAGCTTGCATGCTAAAATACTCACAAGCTTCCCTAGGAATCCGTTATGTTTCCCTGCTTAAAAAAAACCTCCTTCATGGCATTTATAACAGACCAGTAAGGAAAGAAACCACTCTACCCTAATATCTTTCATGTAGATCAGTAAGAGGTCTTGTAAAATAATAAGTTTTCTCATTATTAATTACACTTAAAACATTGAGATTTCCATTCTGATGTTTTAGTGTGCTGGGTTATTTTTTATTTTAGACTGAAGAAACTCCACCAAGTCCTACAGTATGAACACCGGAGCTTCATAAACCGATCTTCATAAAAATGCCACACTAAACTGGAAGCACTATTCAGCAGAATTTTCAAGGGAAGGATTACTACTGCTGCTTTTTTCGTCAGGCTGCTTTCATATATGTGTCTTATTACTGCAACACACAAACGCCAAGCTATTCTCCTAAATCCATTAGTTTCCATTATTTCTGGGCTTCAGGATTTATCCATTTGAGCTTCCTCTTCTTGCACTGAAATTTCATCTTACGTGCCTGTTTCCAGTGTTTTCTTACTTATTTCATGTTTCCTCACTTGCATTTTCAATTTCTCTGCTTAATATTATTGACAAGTTTCATTAATGTATTGCTTTCTTCTTTTCCTAGATGTCTAATCAAAATCAGACCCAAATAAGCTATTTTTCCACACTTCTCTTATGCACCATTTATCATAACTCTTTGCTTGTTATCTTCCAGTGCAACAGTGTTTCCATTCAAGTACAGCAGAGTATTAAGCGCTTATTTTTATCCTAAAAAATTCATCATATATGCTAACTTTTTCTTTTATAAATCCATGTTAAGTACTGAATACAGCTACTATACCCTTAAAACTGCTTATAAGTTCATAATACTCATAAAAACTGTTCAGGCCTACATCTACTGTTCTTTTTTAATTTTACTATATGTAGCATGCAAGTACCACAGTCTGCTGTATACATAGTATTAATACACTACAAAATTATGTACAGTCTCTAGATATATAATTGATCTAGCATTATGTTGCTGAATCCACCAGCTATTAGTGTGCCTCTGTTATAAGTTAACTTTAGCAACCAGCACGTTTAGAACTAAAAAAACATTTCATATCCTTCTAAGCATGCACTAATGGAGGATCTGTTAAGCAGAGAAGCATTGTGAGTAGGTGAGCAGACTATGTAACATCAGGGATGCAGAAAAGGAGAGAGACCAGATTCCCTTCAAGACCCTGCAGCTACAGGAGCCCCTACTGCACAGAGAAGGTGCAGGCAGAACCTTATCTTGTGAAGCTGGGATTGGAGATGCCAAGTCATGTGAAGCCTGTGAGCTTGCAAGCTCTAGCACTACGAAGACCATTCCTGCTTCCCCTGCAGCTCTGATCTACAGAGCAGGTTCTGAGCCCTGGCAGCAGGCAGAGAGCTCTGTCCAATGAAGCCTCTGAGCTGGCATCCTATGGCAGTGCGGCAGGATGGGTCAAGGAACAGTGGTCAGAAACACTGCTGCTGGGACAGAGGTACCTCTGCCACCTCCACCAGCAAGGTTTGCTGCTTACCTGGTGCTTGGCTCCTGGACACCATGGATAGGCTGTTGCTGAGGTTAGTAGTAGTCTGGCCTTCAAACTATTATCCTCAGCTGCTCCTCCATATGGGTACCACAGATACAGCCAAGGGAGGCCAGGAGTGTATCAAGCACAACTACAGTGATCAGAGGGTGCTGGGCCAGTGCCTGGTAGCCAGCTGGTGTATATTTTGTCCTGCTTGTGAAGGGGGGAGGAGGAGCCTATGAATCCCACCAGCAACAACAATTCATTATGCAGCTGACATCAACAACAGGGACTCAGCCTTTACGATGATGGGACCTTCACTAAGTTCAAAGAACTGCCAGGTGATGAAGTCCACTGACCATGTGGGGCAAAAGCATCTTTGCCAAAAGGCTAGTCAACTTGCTAAGGGAAGGCTTAGACGAGAAATGATGGGAAGAGAGGTGTGATGTACAGTCTAGTGAGGAAGTGGTGGTCAGGGTTTGCACGCAAAGCATGCAGGGTGATGTGGACAATAGAGATCTTATAATCAACAAAACAGAGGTGAAGTGGAGCTACATCAAGTGTGTGCACACACCTGATACAGGAACACCATTTTGGTATACTCAGATGGAGTTAGGAAAAACAAGGTGCACCTGGAGTTGAATCTGGAGAGGGATGTGAAGGTCAAAAGTTTTGTACAAGTACATGAGCAGCATACAGAAGGCTAGGGGAAACACAGGCCTGATGCTAAATGGGAGGGGTACTTGATGAAACAATGCCAAAATGTCAAAGAGCCTTCTTCACCTTGCTCAATGGGTAAGACCCACTTTCTGAAATTCCAGCCCCCTGAGACTAGTGGGAAAGTCTGGAGCTATAAAGACTCTAAATGAGGAACAATCAGATTAAGAAATCTTTAAACAAATTGGACGTAACACTTCTGTGGGACCTCATGAGATGCCACTATGAGTGCTGAGACAGCTGTCCCTGTAATTGTGAGGCCACTCTCAACTGTCTGTAAGCTTTAAGCTGATGGGTGAGGTTCCAGAGGACTGAGGAAAGCAAGCAACAACCCTGTTTTCAAGGGCAAAAAGGGAGGATCCAGGCAAATACAGGCCTGTTGGCCTCACCCTGATCTCTGGGAAGGTGGAGCAAATAATCCTGCAAACTGTTTCCAAACACAGTAAGGGCAACAAAGTGATTGGTAGTAGTCAGCATGAATTTATGAATGCGAAATCATGCCGACTGACAGAAACACAGAGGCCAGAAAACCTGAAGGGAGTTAGAAGCACTGCTGACTGCTCAGGAATCTGCCTGTTTTCCATCTCACCAGGGCAGCAGAGATCCTGTGACTCCACAGTCCTTCCTCAGAAGGTAAAATACCAACTCAAACAAAACAGAGATGCAAGTACTGAAATACTTGTTTACAAATGACCTACTAAGCACAATGTGTGAGCAATAAGGCAGTAAGAGAGATTCTGGAGAAAACTATGGAAATGCCTCCAACTGAAATATATACCAATTTTTTACAACTCAATGACTAACTTTTGCCTGCATGAAATTATTTAATTTTATAATTAGAAAAAAATGAAAAGCAAAACAAAACCAATCACCGCTACCCCACCCAAATCCATACCTTTGATGGAAAGTTCCACAATTAAATTGGAATTATGCAAAAAAAAGCCCCATTCTCAAGAAAGTGATTTTTTTCACCATTGTCTTCTGTATCTTTTCTGAAAGAGATAGAAAAGAGTGACAAACAACCATCATCCCTATTTTCAGAGGCTGTGTATAATAGATTACCTCCTATTCTGTTCTTCATACCTCATCCCACAGAGTAGGGCTTCCTCTCAAGTCATTAACAGAAATACCCAGATGCTTTGCATCTCACATCAGAACTGACATGCTGATTCTAACTATCGTTCCTTAAATTTCAGTTCTAGGCCATTCATAAATTCAATATAGATTTAAAAAGATAGGAGCATTCATGAAAAAGGGTCTGTATAAAACTGCACTACTGCCAATGCGGTTTAGTTATTTTAAACTATGATGCAGTTGCTTCCTGCATGCATATTACATTGAAAAATTAAGTTTCATATTTTTCATTATACTTTTTCAGCAATACCGCATAAGCAACATTAATATACTGACTCCCTCCAGTAAAGTGAGCTTTTTCCCCCCTCTCCCTCTTGGTTTATGTACCATAAATAAATAAGTAAGGGATAGAAGTGGTACAAAGAAAACCTACAACATGCACGTTCTGATGAGTAGGTAGAAAGCAGTAGATTCCAGTTTAACACATGGACAAAGTGAATTCATAGTCTTCTCTTTTTAAACAGACTTTTTTTTTAAAAAAAATCTGTATTAACTCTTTTAAATACAACATCAAAAGAAAGGAAGACTGATCTCAAATAATTCTGTTCTTTAGGATGAGTCATTTTTGATAATAACTACAATATGTAGAGAAAAAAGTATATGAACAGGTTTACAACAAATCAGTTGAAAAGAAACAATTAAGTGATTTATATCCATATACAGTCAGCATTCATACATGCAGTGCCTAAAGATTTTCCAATAAAATAATTTAGGATAAAATGCACAACACTAATGTTGGAGGTTTTGTGGCTTTCTTCCCTCTTACCCTAATTTATAGCCATTTTTCCTAAATATATCAAAATATTTGAAAACAAACAGTAGCTATGGCTGTGAAAAGTTCTGATTTTCCAAAATATGACTGAGTCTTTCCTACATGATCAAGAATTGTTATTGCCTTTCCAAAAATTAATTTTACTATGCAATGACTGGACAGCATTTTTTCATAAACCTTTCATTTCTGTCCAAATCAATAAGATCATAAACTCCATATTTGTTCACTACAGTCGCCTCCAGTCTGATGTGACATCCGCTGAATAATGAGACCACAGAATGAGTCAGGCAGCAGAAACTCACTTCTGAGAAACAAGAAAGCATTGCACTAACCCGGAATCTTACCATGAAATAAAGTTTGTTTTAATTGGCTCATCTGATTACAACCTTCAATAAAAAGTATACAGTTTTGCACCAAGACTTTCCCAAAACATTCTTAGAAAATTCTGCTTCATAAATAAACCCAATACAAGGACTACTCAATTTCCCATCCTAAGAAGGATGACAGCTCCCCATGGTGACATCCCGCTCCTTGCATTCTTATGGTTCCTCCTTTGATACATAACTGGAAAATAAGACCCTAGACATTCTGCCTCAACTCAGCCCTGGACTTCAACTTCAGTAAGGAAAGTGAGACTTGTGACATCTGATTTCCATAACTTTTTTCCCCAAATGCTTAAACAAGTCCAGAGCCACACAGAGCAATAATATTTAGTATTGTTCAACTAAAACATCGGTGTGTTATCAGTATTGTTCTCAGACTACAGCCAAAACACAGTACTGCACCAGCTGCTTGGAAGAAAAACAACTCTACCCCAGCCAAAACCCGGACAACTGTGAAACCAGTTTTAAGACTACACAGACTGAACAATACTATGCTTTATAAAATACATTTCTAGGGTGAGAAAAAACACCACTTTCTGAAAAGGCTGCGTTCTAAGCAATTGAAAGAGAAAAGGGAACAGAGAGTAGAAACGCAAGACAAATGCTGTAATACTAGTGACAGCCAAGGCAAGGCCACAGCAATCAACAGCCTTCATCAATTTATGATCCACCTGTGGTTTTAGATCTTCGACCTTCTTTAAATCTTCACAATTACTGCCAAAATCTACTGATATAAAACTAACAATATACTTCACCAAAAACAAAACAGACAAACCCAAAACCCCAAACCTTAAACCAAACAACTAAATTACTTTCAACTACATTTTAAAGAAATCACTTACATGATGTTACCAGGTGTCAGAATACAATTACCATTGTGCTTTCTGCAGCTCTTCCGTTTAACAAACTAGTATCTGAACAACCAGATAATACAAACAGCAGCATTTTTATGCCATGACTAAAGGCCGGGTACCTAGCATTGCAGGTATCTATGCAATAGATGTTGCTAGGTGGCTGCTGACAGGCTGCTGAAGGTTAGCAAAGACTTTCCCACCCAAGTTCTTTCTACAGATAGGCTCTTGCAAGGCGTAGCTGTAAACACCTACTGCATTCAACAGAGATGCCACATGGGCTTGGCCTGCAATGTGGCTCAGTGTTAATGTACGCCCACTAAATCCTCAATGATCACAATCCATGAACACTATCTTCACCCACTGCTGAGCAAACAGATACTTGTAGGGACATCATCTATGTTACTTAAGCCTATCACTGTCTGGATCCTCAGTGGGAAGGACATGAAGATGTACAATCTTGTTTTACTAACTCCTGGAGATGGAAAACGTAAGTATGATACTTGGAGATGTCAGAGGGCACTGTGATTCCTTATGCCATGTTGCGGAGTACTCACCCTTCCCATTGCCACCCCAAAGGCAGCACTCGCCCTCCTCGCCATTTGGCAGAGAAAGCAGCACCGCGGGTCTTGATGAAAGTGGCAGCAGTATTTGTTTATCTTACAGGTAAGGATATAGCCAGGAACCCAGCTTAGGGCTTCCCTTCCCGGGTGTCTGTGCAGAAACCAGCACTCCTGCAGTGTCACTACAGTGACTACAGGTGAAGCAGCACCCAGGACTGGCAGGGCAGCGCCAACAGCGCGCCCAGGGTCGGCCTGCTGCAGCCCCCCTTGCCAGTGCCGCGGGGCCCCGGCGCTGCCCACCGCCCGCCGCACCAGGGCCGGAGCGGCCCCTCCTACAGCGGAGCGCAGCCCTCGGGAACGGGGACACGGCGGGCCAAGCAGTCGCAGTCGCCCCAAGCCCCAGCGCGCGGCGCAGCACCCCCTCCCCACCAGCCGGCAGCCCCTCCCCCCTCCCACCGCGGCGCGAGGCGGAACCAACCGTTGGGCGACGCCGGGCGGGAAAAGGGGGGCCGCCGTCACGCGCCCTCCTCTGCCCCGCTCTCCATGGCAACGCACGCGCCCAACCGCCCCTGCGCGCGGCACAGACACCTTTCCGCTTCCGCCGGGCGAGCCGCGCATGCGCGCACCGGCAGAGCGGCCGGCTCGGGGGGGCGTTAGGTGGTCGGAGTCTCATGAGGGGAGTGGAGCCTGAGGGAAGGTGGGGTGAGTTTAGTCGTTTGTGGGGCTGTGCCCGGGCAGTGGGAGTGATGCTGCGTGTTTCTGCTTGTGGCCGTTCCTGCCGGGCGGGAGACTGGGAAACCGGCTCTCCTTGCCCGCTTTTGGGTGTGCGGCCGTGTTCCTCCAGCGCAGGGCCGTTCCCGAGCGCAGCCGCTTGTCAAGGTGATTGCTGTCTCCTTTACGTGTAGTGTCCTCTCGCAATCCCTTGCAAAACCCGAGTGCTGCGGGCAAGGCCTCTGTCTCGGTCTGCGAGCTCCTGTTCGGAGAACTGGTTCCCTAACTATTGTACCAAGCAGTCTTTGTGGTATGAAATTGCATTAACTTCATAGTATGAAACCATATTACCTTTCTTAAGGCACATTTATATATATATATATATATAAATATATATTTATAGCCATTGATATATATAACCATAATCATAGTTAAATGAGCATAACTGAAAGGCCTAGTTCACTGCAAGAAGGAGAAAGACAGTTCTCACCTTAAGGATATTTTTCTTTTTTTCTCAGAATCTTAAAGTCATCCATGAAGAAGGGATACCCATGTGCTACTCATATAACCTCCAGCATTCCAGCCCCTCCAGCACTTGTGTGAAATCCTCCCATTATGTAGCACCGTAGATAAGTAACTATAGCAAGACCAACTCCAGGCTTGGACTAGGTTCCCTGGGATCTAGGGGCACCTAGATCAAGAAAGAAGCAGGTGGATGATGGCATTGTAGAATTATAGTTGGTTTTCAAAATAGAAGTATGTGTGTGCAAGAAATCATGTACCTGAATGCTTGAAAGGTATGAGAACCATGTGTAAAAAACTACATGTGGTGTGCCCAGATTTGAATGGGACACGTCATGAGCATGGATAAAGAATTATTCTTGTAATTCTATACTTTTAGCATCTCTCCTCATTCAGCATAGGCCAGTTGTGAGACTTTTATGACACTTGTGTCCCCTGCTGTGCTGTGTCCCGTACTCACAGAGGGCCCTTACCTGGCCACAGAAGCCAATCTGTTTTTAAAAGATAATTCTGACCCACAAGGGATTAGCAGTGGCTAAAAGCCACAGACAGCTTGTAGCGGACAGCATTTTCAGTGTTCCCAGCTGGGAATCATGCCTTGAGCACCCATTGCTGATGCACAAACATGATCTTTTGGCTACCTAAAGGTAACCCCATCTGCCTGAGTGGCATAGTTCCCACTGTAAATTATGGGCTCTTGCCCCAGAGCATTTTTCCTACACAATGATGGATGAAATGGAGGAAGAGTAATATGATCACCACAGAAAACTCTTCCTTATTACTGATAACATTTTTCCTAAAATTTAAATCATTATATGATTTTTTCTGAAAAGACAGTGCCCAGAAAGCCAGGTTAGTGTTCAGGTGGATTTCAAGCTTTTGTGGACCTTGTCCTGATTTATTTTTCAGTGTCCAGAATCTTCTGTTATACAGGGCAATTGTTAGCATTTGAAGCTAAAGTTACTCTGACCTGAAAATACATAGTCGTAGCAGGAACTGGAGGTTGTCTAGAAAGAAAATGGAGCATGTTCAAGACAGAAGACAGCACTTCCTCCAGAGCAACCTACATATGTTCCTAGGAAGAGGTACCACCAAAAATAATAGATACATTAATTGGACTATTAAAAAAATATGGGGAGAAGAGTCCTGGAAAGGTTGTTGTAATAAAAAAAACTACCTCTGCTTCTCTTCCATGACAAATTTCACATCTGAATTTATGGCTATATGTAGAAGACACAATAAAAGGTGAAAGATTTTCACAGATTTGAAGAATGAATGTAAATGATGGCAAACAGACAAGGAGTGGAAAGGAAATCAAGGACTTGGGAAATAAAGAGGAAAGATAAAGAGGGGTGGTATGGTTGATGAAGTTTTTTTGGTAGTATGAAGAAGAGTCAGTCAATAATATAATCTTCTAATGATGTACCAGGTGTTTGCATTTCTGTAGTGGTACACTGGTAATGGCCAGACATTAGATTTGTTGTCAGACAGATTGTGTTTTACTTTTCTCTACTCACAGATGTACAGAGTAAATACAAGTTGCAGAATAAGGGCAGTAGTCTATTCAGGCTCAGTCATCTGCACAGCAGTTCACATTTGTAAGTATTTCTTTTGGGGAAGCAGAGCACAAGAAGAAAAGCAGGCAATCATCTGCTGGACTTCCCAATTGAACTTGCAAAGGGTCAGACCAGAGAGATTACTTGACACATTTGACAGAGTATGAAATCCAGATGGATAGATAAGGAGTCTTTGTGGTGAGCTCCATTCTGAATGAAAACAACATACCTAGGGGAAATAAGAACTTTGCATAGTATGGACTTTACCTAAAGCGCAGTATGGATGCCTTAGACAAAGATTATTAAAAGTCTGCAAAATTAGAAAATACATTCTTCAGTGTTGAATATTGCACACTGGCATAGAATTCCTCTTGGAATTTCTGATTCCTGTGCTATGTTGTTGTTGCTGTTTATAAATTACCACAGGAGCCACCAGCTGTCATCATATAAATTTTATTGGCACTCTGTAAATATTAAATCAGCATGCTAAAATGAAGCCATGTGCAGTAACAGCTGATGCTCGGTTATGGAGAGCACATGCAGGAGAGAGGTATGCACTGTGACTCCAGTGATTCTTAAATGCTTACAAGCCCCTTGTTTTATGAGACTGTTTTCCAGGATTCATTTTGAGCCCAAATGTGTCCCTTGTACAGGAGGGATGCTGAGCACAGGTATCTCCTGGTTTGAGAAATCAGCCTTCTCAACAGTGCTCATCTTCCTATGTCCTTCTAAATTGTACAGTTTGCTACTGCCACTTCTTTTCTGAATGACTATTGCATTGTTACATCTTTGTAAACTTTGATGATGGCCATAGGAGACATGTTAACTCTAGAACGGGAGCAAAATCCTTCATGTCATGAAGATCCATGTCATAAAAACTGTCTGTGTCTGTCATAAAAACTGTCTGGGCTCTCTCTCTGTGTCTGTCTGAAACAAAAGCTGTCCTGGCCCAGTTTTGTCAGTCACAAGGTCACATACTGAGGATGAGGCAATAGATGTGAAAGGAAAAGAAAATGTCTCTCAGGCTACATTTTTTGCCTGATCTAATTCCCAGAAAAATCAAAGGCAAGGTATGTTTTATGAACTGTCTGCCTCAGTAGTTATAAGGAGCTCTGTTCAGATAATGCCCAGTGGGCATTACAGTAGATGTCCTAGTATTAGCTCTTCTAATATCTCTTTCCTTCCAGGAGTTGCTGCCTAAAATGCAGGCAGCACACTGCTTGAATGCTTCTGTATCTATTACAGTACAAAGGGAGTTTAAACCAGCTTCAGCAGAGGGTTAAGCTGAGATACTGTCCCTTTCATAAAGACAGCTTAGGCACATGCCAGTCCTGTCTGAACACCCCAACTGCAGGCTGCAGCTGCCAGCTGAACTAAATGGGTTGTAATACCAACATCCTAAACCAGCAGAAGTAAAATGTCTCAGAAAAGGCCTTAGGGAAACATAAAAGCTGTCCCTGAATTTTCCTATTATTATTCATTTTAGCTTTTGTTCCATTTTTAGTTTTTCAAGTTGAAGTGCATTTTATTGGTGCCGTGGAGCACAAGGCACTGTAAACAGGGTGATTTTTTTCTCAGTGTGGACAATTAACATTTTTATCAATATTCTTGCAGCAGGCCAGCTACAGTCTTCTTATCCCCATTCTTTTGCATCTGAGCAGAGAGGGAGTGTGTGCAGCTGTCAGGGAGAGATTTCAGGGCAGCTGAAGTTGGTGGCTGCATACCAGATATTCAAGGAGTTTGGTTTAGCAAAACAGCAAATACAAAATATTTATAATTCAGTATAAATGTTTCATGTTTCCACTGGCAAGCTGCCTGGTGGAGGACCTGAGGTAGCCTCAACCCCACACCTCTTCACGTGCACCATCCTGCACAGCATGAGCTCACAGACATGATGTGATTATGCAGCTGTACAGACTGGCAGGGGGCTTCTCTCTGAGTAGAGAATCTCATCGTCTTGCCATTTCAGCAAGGAGCTAGTACATTTAGGAGGAAGCATCACAAGAGATTTCACCACCTGTCAGTAAAACATGTTAAAGCTTGTTAGCTGACAACCATGGGGTTAGCTGTGAATTTTTCATAAATGGTGAACAAACTACCAAGCACAGCATGAAGTACTGAGTGCAACTTCACAGTCTTTTCCCTGGAATACATAGTTGTACAGAATTTAGTAAGAGTTCTATGTAACTTTACTGTGTGGTGTAAGTACATTAGGCATTAAAGTCAACTGCATAAAAACCTTATTTAAGAAAATTAAATTTATTTTGCTTAAGCAGTTATCATAAACAGCACTTCAGTTATTTTCAAGATAAAGCCCACCCATTTGGAAAAGAGGCAATAGGTCAAACGAAATAGCAGAAGTGTACAAACTCCGCTTGGAATTGAGCTGAATTTTCAGAGACCTCTGCAACCATAGTCTTTCAGACAGAGTCTTTCTCTGTATGGTAGGTTTGTACAGGGAGTGCTCTGAAATGGAAGAGATCACATTAACTGCATCCGTTTTAAGCATGCAGCCTCTGTGTGGACACAACTGAAGTCATGCAGATTTGCAGCTTTAATGGAATTACTACTGGAAGCAACCATATAGTGATGCAGATCACGCCTCACCTTTCTGACCCACATCATTATACTAGTAGAGGCCATCATAGCTGTGCAGCAAGAGCAAAATCCTGTTAGCCCCTGGGCACAACATATTCCTAATAGGAAATTTTTTAAAGGCTGAGAAATCTGATCCAATTAACACATTCTTGATTTTGCAGAATACTGTGCTAATTATGTGCAGCCAGTCATTGCTGGGTTAATTAAACATTCATCAAAAAAACCTACAGCACTAATCTAATTAGCAGTTACTACAGCTGTCACTACCTCTTCTCACCTACTATTAAGCTGTGCAAATTCACACTAAGAATCTGGTCCTGCAAACTCCTTATATGAATATGTTTCTTTAACTGCAATAATACTTCAGCACACAGAAGGCACTTTAAAATCTAGGCTGAATACTGTGTAGTCCACAGGATAGCTTCAGCTGTGCCATCCTTATGTGCAAAAGTCACAGTTCAGTCAGCCATGTCAAAATTACAAGACTGGCAGATTTTTCTTTTTAATTGACTTGTCATCTTACGGGAAGTGATGTAGGTCCTACGTTCAACTGGTTCCCTGCAAGTATCAAACCTGAAACGTATTTGCATTTCAGAAAAAAAGAAAATGCAGGCAAGCATTCTTATATATTTGCACAGCTTTAAAACATCAGTGGTTAGAAGGCTCAGAAGATTTAGCTTTTTCAGATTAAAAAAGTAAAATTGGGAATAAAAGAGAAAAAAGTTGGGAACTTTGATGCTGTATGTGCTTTTTTATTCCTTAGGCACAATTAAAAATGAACACTTATAATCACAATGACTCACAAAGTTTTAGTAAGGTGCTGAGATTTGGACCTCGTGGTAAGGCAGGAAGCTGTTTCTTTCCACTTCTGTGGAATGCAGTAGTTGTTAAGGTTGAATGTGCAATTGGACATGCCCAGTGAGGAGGAATCTACTGAAAAAAAAGCATGACTTTTAAAGAATTACTTTCTTCTCTGAAACTATACAGTTGCTAGCTGGTGCTACTTTGTCTATTAGAAAAGCTTTTCTTTGGTCATAACATGAGCCCATTCATACTCAATGCAGCCTAACCTGGGAAGGTGGATTTCTGAATCTGAGTGCTAATTCACTGCACTAGCATCCCAAGGATATCGATCAGCATTATAAAGCTAGAATAATTATTAAGTTAAAATAAGTATATCCTTTATTGCATTCAGTACAGAGTTGTTAAGGCCTTGACTGCTTGTTATGTGGAATTACATCAACACAATGCCACAACATACAAACAGCCATACAAAATTTGCACATCAATCCTTAAAGGATCAAGAGAAGGCTTTGTTCAGTTTTAGTATACAATTTTTATTATTTAAAACCAGGTTTGTGTATAATGTAGGATAATTATATACTAATCTTGAGTTTGCTGACTGCAATTGACCTGCAGAAGCAAACAGCTGTTGCAGCAGTTCAGATCCAGTAGCAGAATATCATTCAGGTGCAATTTTCAGTAAATATTAAACATGGGTCTTGCACTCCAAAGCCATGCTGAATGTATTTTTTGACAGGAAATCAAGACACTTCTGATCACAGAGCAGTTCATATACAAGTAATCATTTACCCAAACCTTGACTTGGCCAGCTATTTCAATACTGATTTCCAGTGTCCCAAAAAAGAGCTGTGGATAGTTCAACAACAGGGGCTCAGGTCTGAGAGTTTGGCAACAGCAGTGGAGCAGATTTCCAGAGAGCTGAATGAGCTGGGTTAGAAATAGGCTGAAGTCTAGCTGCTGGAAGCTGATCACTGCCTGGTGTGCCAGGTTTGTGAAACAAATTCAGGGAGAAGCAGCTGGAGGGAGCAGGGAAGCCAGAAGTTCAGCTAAAAAAAGCCATGCAGAGCAAATGCAGGCACATAGAAGGAGAGTAAGTGGTTTCTATGGCAAAATAGCCTTTGCAACCACTATCCTAGTGTGTAATTTGTAAAGTATATTAGTTTTCACTGGGAACTGGACCCCAGCTACAAGCAGTCAGAGTGACCTTAACTATAACAGCCTTCTGTCTGCCTTATGCCCATTTATATTTTACATTCAGGCACTATCTTGATTGAATTTAGACCTGTTTTTGCAAGGAAGAAACTAAAGCCTTATCTGTGTTGCCAGTAAAGCTATGTTGGCAGTCCCTGCAAGCAAAGGGGATGTAAACCAGCTAATACATCCGGGTTTTGCACAGATAAATCTTGCTAGTTCTCCAGCTGTTGTTTACTGGCATTCTAGAAACAGTGATAAGAAGGGTGGAAAATTTTTTAAAGGTTTCCCTTGTTAAAGTAAGAACTGCACACATAAGCCCAATAATCTCATCTCCATTTCTTTAACAGCTGCAAGGAAACATCTGTTACATGTTAGGTAAATTTATTGTTGAAGCAGAGAAGCAGTTCAGGCAGTTTAATATTTTTGTGCATCAGTGTGATGAAAGCTTTAGTTTTGGTGTCGGGTTTGCGTTTTTTTTCTCCATTTACAAATTCTTACGATCAAGCTGTTAAGAAGTACTTTGCACAGATTAATAGTGGTGATGTACATTTGCATGCAAGTCTGACAGTAGAGATCCAGTTGCAGGGCCTTCAATCTTCTGAGTCTCACATTTACACTCTTCCACAATCATGACTTCTTTGACCACTGGAACAGAACCAGTGCAGTTGAGATCTAGCCGCTTCATGGAGAACTTGCTGGGCAAACAATGAGAACAAAATGTATAAAGATGATCTTCTGAACCAGGAACATGGAAGGAACTGCATTTTCCAAAGCACAGATTATTCTGCACCATCACCTTCTCACAGCTATCATGAGTAACACCCTGAAACAGAAAGCAGTTTTAAGTTTGTGGTACATGGACTTTGCTAGTGGGCATGAAGGCAACACTCTTCCCTCATAGCACCTCCCCACACCCTCTAAATACTGTATTTTTCTCCTCAGAACACTTAGTTTACATTTATTTTTTTCTGTCAAGCAAGCAGCAAAACATAAGAGCTTTTAAAAAAAAATTATAGCCCTCCTATGAGCAGTTCTTAGATTGAACAACAAAGTCAAAGTCAACTTCAGTCAGGGCCTTTGTGAGCTTATGGTGGAAATCCTACAAGTGGGTTAGTCATATTTTCCTTTTAACTATTGAGTTCTACATTTCTGAAATGGTTAAGCAGTCTTACTCACATAGTAGGACTTAAAATATAATTTTGGCTCAATCTTCTTGTGTATGAACCACAAGCTAGACTCAGCTGTAATCATGAAGATTTGTCTTCAAATCTTGTGAAAGAGACAATGTTCTTTAGCAGTATTTGGGGTTTTTTTAAATGAAAATCTTTAAAGTGCAATAGAAGTTCTATAATCTCTTGGTTTGCAAGAATAACAATTCCTTGTATCAGGAGGGCCTATGTCATCTCTCAAGCCTTAAAAAGCTAGGCTGAAGTGAGCCCTTTTATACTGGCATAACTGCAGCCGTCCTGGAGAAATCTTGCCATGTTACATGACCCAAGTAAAATAGTACAGGTTTCCAGGCCACATCTAATATTTAATAATTTACATCTCTATTTTTTCAGCTAGTGAACTAAATTTAGTGAGGGATGTGCAAAAAACATAGTCCTTGATGGACTGTGAATACAGAAACACTGAGAATAGACATTGCCTTACAAGTAATGCAGCTCTTATATCTATACTATTTGCTTGTCTTTGTGTTACAATATGACAGAATGGCTTCATCTGTGCATGAGACAATTACCAGTTCTCTAGCATCCTTAGCACAGAACTAGATGTATGCATCAGTCTTCCAATTAATACAGCAGAAAGTCCTTGCTTAGGTCTGGTCAAACAGCTTCTCCTGTAGATACTTGCCCTGAAACTCTGTATATTTGCATATGTGTATCTGAATATACATATTTTTATATAGGTAATTAATGTATAAAAGCTGTTTTGATATATATTCCTTGAATAGATAATTACTAACCACTGCCCTGCTTGCTCAGACTGGGTCAGAACATCTTAGCATAAGAACAAATAACTGAAGATTTAATGTGTGGCTTTCTGGTGCTGCAATTTAGCAATTTGCCTCGTCATACTAAAGCTTTTCCAGACCTTTTCAGAAGTGTTTTTCAGGCACTTGTGTGAATGTTCTAAAGCAGCCCCATGACTTAGCAAATGAAATAACCCATGAATCTTTAGTTTCTGATTACAAGGGGCAGCGGAAAGGACAAGTGTATTGATCTTGGACACCTGATCTTACCTGGGAAAAAGGCAGCGTTCTGCAGTTTTGTTGGTGCATTTCATTGGTCTTGATTGGCAGGACAACCTCTTCAGATGCTGAATTTTTCTTTAACATGAAGTGATCCCAGAATTTCTTGGCATCTCTTCTATAGGAACGTTCAACCTCCCTCTTGCTGGAAAAAGGGGATGGAGAGAAGTTTTCCAGAGAAGAGATCTCTCTGGGTGCTGCCCAGGTTCTCAGGCCTTGTTCTACATGGAGTTTTGTATCAGGAAGGATGAATCTGGACATTTTTTTCTCCTTTTGCTTCCCACTTTTAAATGCCGTCTGTGGAATTGCTACAAAAAAACTTGGTTCTCCCGGAGTTTCCTCAACACCTGCTGGGTTTTCTCCTGCCAGCTCACGAAAATTCTGACTTTCAAGTAGTTTTTTGTCCAGATAGAGGAGGTGCTGAAATGTCCTTCTGCTTTTCTTTCGTGGTGAATCTCCATCTGGCTCTGTGGCTCCAAGACATGAGAGCACTAACAGCTGAAAGAGAAGCAGTGACATGACCCCGTAAAGTGCAAGCCTGTAGACCTGCTGCTATTAGAGTATCCTAGCTTTATACAAGAGCCTGGTGTCAATTTATGGATGCTGTCTGTGTGCAGAGGAGGGGAGGGCTCAGGGGAGACCTGGTGTGGCTAATTGCATTCATTTACTGTAGATTACAATTATGATAGGGGAGTTTGTGCTAATGAAACTCTGCTTTCAATCTGGATTATGTGTATTAGAAGTTCCTATCTAAAATCTTGTAACCCAGTATGGCGTGAGGGACAGAAGGAGTGAACAGGAGGAAATGTTTGGATAAGCTGTCTAGTTTAGGCCTAGGAATTAAGGAAACATTTGAGGTTGTGTATTAGCATGTTCAGTGGGGTCTTCATTGTTTATTTTGACTTTCCATTCCACAAAGCCAGAGACTGTCAAAACTGGGAATGTTATTTCATCACAACAGGAAAAGGCAAGCTGATTAAACTTTGTTAAAACATAAAGCTGGATCTGGAGACATCAAATCAGACTGTGTTTTCAAAAGCTGAGTCTAATTCACCTCTGACCCAAGGCCTGCATCAGCACTACTGCAAACTGGCAGACTGGTACTCACACACACACACAGGAATCTGGTCCTTGCTTCACTTCCTTCACAGCATGTTTGCAGCTGCTGGATTGCAGGCATAATGCTAACCCAGAATAAAAGGTCCTGGGGCGAATAAACGCTGCGCCCCACATTCTCAAAGATTAGGTAGCACTGCTACGTCTCTTTTGGGTGCCAAAGCCACTACAGGCATCCTATAAGGTTGGTAAACAAACTGGGGATTTAAGCAAAACTTCTTAAAACTGACATATTTTGTGATTCTAGACATCAGTGACTCAACAGAAGTATTTGAAGACTGCCAGACCCCAAACTGGAGGTGTCTTTGGCAAAATTACCATGCAGTATGTAATGAAAAAGAGAAATCTGACAGAACATACAGAGGAAAGTGTTGGGAGGAGGAAAACATATTTTCAGTCTACGTTGCAAACATTGATCCTCACCTGAAAATGCTAAAAGGAAATTCTGCTTCAGATAATTTGTTATTTAGGTACTCTAATCTCTACAGACTCCTGTTTCTTTCAGAAAGAATCTATCGATAGACTCTAAACTTTGTAGCTAATCTCTTCATTATTCTTGACAATTTAGGTGGTCTGTATTAGGTGTATGAGGTTATTTGACTTTAATTTCCAGCAAATTTATTTATTGCATGATAATTAAAGCAGACTAATTTCTTAGCAACATGCTTGTGGGGCATTTAGAACATTAGCAGAAAGTTGGAGGAACTCTAAAGCTTTTCCATACATCATAACTCACTTGAGTTAAAATATGCTGTAATCCTGACATCCATCCTGGGACAGGAGTGCATGGAGCTCCAGCAAGAATAGGGGCTCCCACACCAATCTTAGAGTGTATTTGCTCCTTGACCTCAGTGGGATGATCTTATTAAGGGAGATGCAGCCATGAAGCACAAGCTTTGTTACTCCTGTCATTTCAGCTGAAGGCAGTTTAATTCTGCCACTGATCTGGTGCCTTCCTGAAGTCTGAGGTGTGCCCTGGGAGGGCAGATTCTGTCACAGCTATCAGGAGTGAAATAATGAAAAATACTGGCATCTACAACAAGATCGGTCCTTGCGTCATATTTACACAAGCATGTACAGTATTGAAGTGCAGCAACAGTGAGTCAACAGGGTTGATTTGATAATTAATTAGCTTGGTAGGTAATTAAGTATTCTAGAAGTGCCATTTAAATCCCCATTTTATCTTTATTGGGCAACAAGTTAAACTGAAGTAATTGACCTTTGGAACTAAAATTTCTTGTACCTGGTGCATGTTGGTGGTAGTTATGCCAAATTATTTGGCAAGAACAAGGACATTACATTTTGAGTTTTACTTCTTTTTTTTTCCTCTTTATTTTAGTTTCTAAGAGAGTTACAAGACTTGGCTGATACTCAGACCTATGTATTATATTGTATTATGTAGCTACAGGTGGGCCTCACATTTGACAGTGCCTTTGAAACACAAGATTTGACTGAAGCAACATATGTTTTTGCAGCTCACCTAAAAATGTCTCTGTCAGTGCACAGATAAAAATTAAGTAAATAATAGTACTGAAATAATTGGGCTACCAGACACTTCTATCTAACTTAAACTGGTCTGGATTTTATAGATGTAGTGCAGATACTAACAAGGAATGTATAAAAAACTAGTATTGACATATATGCATAGATGTTAAGGTGCTAGTGTTACATTTGCAGTGGAATGGCACTGAAAATAACCTGTTCAGGATCTGTTCATGGTATGTACTATTCTATACTATAACATACAGAAAGAAAAAAGCCCTGCCTTAGAGGGCTTCGGATATAAACACGGAAAATATTTTTTACAAAGGGTAGGAAAGAAGGCTGAAACAAAGCAGTATCAGCGAGTCACTCCAGAAAGCACTCTGTCACACAGAGGCATAAAACAGAGCTCTCTTCTTGTCTAGGTCAAGCCAGTTCTAGTTCCTGGGTTTTGTTGGGTGGTTTTACTGAGAGCTGTTGAGAGACAAAAGGAGCATACTCAGCCCTGGTTCTGCCAGGGCAGACTAATACTGCTCCTTCATGTCTATGATAGTAAGCTGTGGCTGCTTTCTCAGAGACCAGGTTGGTGAGAAATGTAACCTGGTACATCTCAGCACAGTTTTTTCTATATTTACATATTGTCTAAGTATGTTTTGGAGTCAGCTGCCTGTACAACTGTGCACGAGGTAGCAGATTTCAGCTTCTCAGCTCAGGCAGGAGCCTGCCTGCATTATGGGAAGGCATCCCAGTTCAGACAGCAAGTTTAAAAAATCATTCTGAAGTTAAAAATAGTAAGTATTTAAAAGTCTGTTTGTGGTGTCATCAACTGCATAGAGTAATAGTTGACAATATAGATTGGACTGGACACATAACCATTATGTTGCGAATACAGCTAATCTCAGATTTCTACAAAAAGCAGTGCTGTGTCTTTTATAAAAACTTGTTTTCCTGCCTGATTACCCTTTCATATAAGCATAGCACATGTTTTCACTGTATTTTGGTGGTTAAATCTTGTGGCTAAACGCAGTGGTGTCTTTCAAGCAGGCTTTGATTTGCCTTCATAGTAGTAATTTATTTGGGACATTCTGTCTTCACTAGAAATAGACACCGTGAATATTTGCCCATCCTTCTAAAACTGTCAGATCTATAGATGACAAGGACTATGCAAATGCAAAGTGGTCTTCATTTGTTTCTGAGCTGGAGTTTATTCAGTCATTATGGACATAAAATGAGTAATTAGTTACACTGCCAGTTGATGTCTAAAAATAATTCTTAGGCAGTGCTTGAATTACTTGCCTTCTGTTGAGCTAAATAGTCTCATCATAGCATGATTGATGATTAGATAATTAAAATGTATTTTATATATTACAGCCCAATTCAATATCCTATCGTTTTCAAAACACATCCTATGTAGACAGACTTGTATCCAGATATATCTTTTACAGAACCCATATGAAGACCTCAGAACTAATGAATTGGCACTGAGCAGTTTATTCTTCAATTATTGTACTTATCAAAGAAAGCCATCTGTAGTCTTTGTTTTACTGAGTTTTGGGGAAACAGATCACATGCAGGACTCATGGGAAAGTTATAATTATGAAACCAAAAGGCTTTGTGTAAGGCATGATAACAGACTAAATCTGTTTAGTTTTGTACCTTCAACCTCAGATACTGTACAGCATTAATTCTTCCCTTTGCTATTCAATTTCAAGTCCTTTGTTGCATTATTTCTTTCGTCGCTCATTTATAACTTCCTGTTCACATTTGATTTCTCTTTTCTCTGTGCTGTGGTAACAAAACTGAGAACAGTCTTAAGTTTCAAGCTGGTGTCAAAATGGAGGTGCTCACACTTGAAAATATTCACCTGTGTGTCCAGGAGGGCTAGGATAAATGTCCTTTCGTGTGTATTGGCCCAAGTTTTCATGGCTACTAGTGCATGCACGATGCAATGGATGGTTTTCTTTCTATTATACTTCTCAGACTGGTATATTTTGGACAGGTGTCCACCTCCTGAGATATCTCCTGAATAGTACTGGCACATACATGCTGCCTGTTGAGATTGCATCTGATTCTGAACCCAGCCTGAGGAGCTATGTTGAGTATGTGTATGTGCTTGATTACTTCAGGTTGTTAAGCTGTGGGACAGTGAGCCAGAGGAGAAAGAGTCTGGGCAAAGAGACATTTCGGTCTTCAGGGAGACGCATCTTTCTTAGATTGCCATGAATAATTTGAAGAGAGCAGTGGTGATTCACTGAAGAGTGTGACACCACCAAGAAAATGTTTGTTAACGTAATACAGGGAGGAAGATGCAGATGGGGTTTCTTTTATTAAGTAAAAGTATATTTAGACTTATCTGAACATTTCATCTGTGTGAATAAAATTATATTTTTTGCTTATTGTAGTTATATCCAGTAGTTCAGAAACTAGGTTCCTGTTCATTAGGACTGCTTCTGACTAAACCATTCTATGACTCTATGATTGTCTCAATGCTATAAAAAATAAATGAACAAACCCTGTTGTGTTCTTGTATTCTGACCTTGTATTATTTGTGTACAGCTGTAGATGATAGTAGTTAAGCAATGGAATTAAAGTAAGAGTTCTTCTTATTACAATCTGCATAGCTTCCTAAAGGGTAATAAGAAAGAACTAACATCTGCATCTCTTCTGATTACTGGTTACTGAGGGAAAATTACGTTTATTCACATTCTCCTTTAAATCAAGGATCATATTAGAATTTAATTTTGTTTTTCTTTTTGTATAATTGCCACCAGACCTGTAACTTTTGTTAAATTTACTTCTCAAAATAAACATTATTTTCTCTTTTAAAAATGTTTTGCTCATGGTACAAATGTCCTTATAGTAGTAATTCAGGAATAGGTTCATGCAGAAGACGAAACAGAATTCAGAAACTGTAGAATAAACAGCAGGTATATTATGATTAACTGTAAATGCATTTCTATATGCCCAGCACTATAGTTTATACCTCTAGAAGAAAAACTTTTATGAAATTATGAAACTGAAGAAATACATGTTCAGAGTAATGTGTTTCAATTTTTATTAATACACGTAAAAAAGTTAAACATAACAACATATATACTGTTCTGAGTACAAGAGTTACAATAGCACCAGTCTTGTGATGAAAATTATGAATCACAGTATTCACTGAATTATATATATAATTCTCTCAAAGTTATTTTTATAGTTTTAAAATGAGTGAATAAGGACTTGAAGGTTTTCAGTATGTTTCAGTGTGTACAAAATAGACATGGAAAACTTTCCTGATTTTTTTTTTTCAGATTAAAACCCCAGTCTCAATGAAGTTATTAATAACAATACAAATGTTTTAGAGTATTCTGGTTTGGAAGAAGTGCTCCTGTGGCCAGTTGCCTATCCATATTTTTCATAACCTTTGTGTTTGAGTCAACTACTTCTCTGTCAAATTTGTTTGAAATTGCTCAACACATGTAAAAGATACTTGACAGAGAAGGTGATTAAAAGTGACAGGCACACAAAGAGCTCATGTTACCTATCCCTTTGTAGAGGTCTGGGCTAACTGCTGAGTTCTTTTTACTGAGCTTTTGTGTCTTGGTTCTGTTGCTCTTAAAAGATACATGGACAGCTCTGATGAAATAAATCCTTTGTTTATCCAAAAAGTGTGGCATCCATAGGTGAATGCCAGAATTTACATTGTTCTTACTTTCAGCCTCTTGAAATTCTTCTGCTGATCCACTGAACACTGATTTTCCTTTGAGTTTACTTGGAGCCTAAATCAAAAGTACTAAAGACTGAAAATATTCCCAGTAACTTCCCAGGATTTTAGGCCCTTCCTTTACTAAACCTCTTAGAGACAACAACTTCCCAGACAGCAGAAAAACTGATTTATTTGTGCTTTCCCTGATTCGAGTATGTTGTATTCTTTGCTATTATAATAAAAGCTGTAAAAGTCTGTGAAAAAAAACCCCTAAATTTTTAAGAATAGAAAAATTAGAATTTATGAATAAATATTTGAAACAGTTTGTTGTATTGAGAGAAAATCAGTAGTCTTTCAGGGCAGAAATATCCTTGTACTGCAATGTAAGAATTTTAGTCTCATTAGTGTATTAGATATAATGAAACCAGTAAGCACATACAATATGTGCAACTGTCTATTATATACTAAAACCTTCATTCTCTTCAGTCACTTTAAAGTGGTTCAAATGAAATACAGAAAAGGGAAATCCTCCCTTCTCACTATAGCAAACCTCTGAGATCAGTGTTGTCTCGGAGTAGGCATGAGTTATTTATTAGTTAGTGATCAAGGAATAAGCACCTTGGTCAAAATTCCCTCTCTATTGATATCATTCATTTATTGAATAATTAGGAGAGATATTTAAATTATCTTGACAGGCTTTGTCAAGAT